AGCAGGAACAAGAAATGTGATCCAAATTGCCTATTTCTTCTGCCAGGCAAAAAAAGTAATATTAGCAAAATCTATTCATTCCCATTGCATGACTTCTACTTTATACTATTGTATTTAAATCCATTCAGAGTTCATGGGTTAAAAGAGCACCCATTTGGTAGTTATTTTATTCTATCTAAAGCCAGAAATTCTAAATATTCTTGCTTTCAACCTTCATATAATTCATAACTTAGAGCTTTGGCCATAATGGCTACTTACAATAACTGTAAATGCTTAAGAGAGTCATTTGGTATCTTAGTGGACATTTACTCTGAACCTTAGACATAAGATAGTGGTTTAGTTTGTTGCATATCAAGTATCCTGAGATGATAACTTTTTGTAGTTGCTTCTTCATGCTTTCTTTTAGCTGTAACCACTGTCAATATGCTTGTAGGACAATAACATAGGCAGTTCAAGATTCGGATTCTGAAAGATTTAAAATACACAGAGTTAAAAGTTTTATCTTAATAATAATGTAAAACCACCTGTTCAGCATTTTCAAAAATAAATCAAGTAGTAAATTTTGTTATGAGAATAAAACAGTTCTTTTAACAAAGCTGCCAAGTTTTATTCACATGCAGGGAAAAAAAAAGTGACACAATAACCAATTTTGAATCCTTTATTCATTTGTCAGCTGAATAGATTCAGACTTGCTTCTTGCTTTTGGATTGCTCCAGGGTTCTTTTAAGAACTTTTACCACTAGGACAGCAGAAGCTTAGCTCACTAAGATCCCTTCTAGTCTGTGAGGGACAGAAGGGACATGAAAACAGGGACATTTTATTTAACTTTCTATCTCTAGCACCTAGCCCAGTGTCTGGCGCACAGCAGATGCTCAGGACATGTTGAATGAATGCATCAACTGTTTTTTGGTTGTGTTAATTATGATGAAGTCTGAAGATACATTGTTTTGAAAGACTGTTATGAAAGTACTTTTCCTTTACTTAAAGAAACATGTTTCCTCTCTATAATATTGAAGTTAATTTTCTTTTTGGTAGATCATGTATCTATGAGTCAACTGACTCCTGTTTTTCTTATTCATCATCTTTTTAGGAAAGAAACCACAGAAATCTCCCTAAGAAATCTGTAGATTCTTCTTTGTCCTCTAAACACTATCACATGCTATGATCAGGATGGGGCATGATAGGGCAACTGATCAGTGAGTATAAATCAGGTATGTGGAGAAGTGGAAGTCCTACATCAAGGGAGTCAACCTAACCCTTGATTCTCCACTCAAAAATCCAACTTTTTAAAACCTGAGTAGTGGAGGGCCTTAAGGGGTGTACTATTTTCTCCCCCTTTAGGTGCACCTTCCTTGCCATACTTGGACTAGAAGTTCTTTAGAATACCTTCCATTCCTTTTGATGTTCCATTTTCTCATATTAGTTCTTCCGGTAGCAGGGTCAGGGCGACCCTAACCAAAATAAGGTTGCCATTCACATCGAGAACTTATAAAAGGAGTCAGGCAGTACCCTTATCAACCAAAGGACAAACTCGGTGGCTAAACTAATTGCCAAATGTTTTCCTTGGAGAAGAAATAATGTCACATGAAAATATATTCCTAGAAGAAATAACTACATTAAAAATAAAACAATCATTTTTTGAAAAAAATTTCCTCAGTTGTGTTAGGCATTGTAGGAGTTAAGGCCCTGGAGAGACCAAAAGCAGTAGCAGTGTCTGCTACCCAGCCTAGTCTCCCAAACCACAGACCAAGCTAAGGCAAGCAATCCAGGGGGATACAAAATTCACTGGAAACTGTATAGCTAAAATGCATCACACAGCTTAGGACAAGGCTATCTGGAACAAAATAGTCAAAGACATTGAAGGCTACTGGGAAGCAGATTCATTACTGAGGGACAACATAAGCAGGTGAGTCATTCCAAATGGGTAAAAGGATGTATGTAGACTGAGACAAAATGAATTGGCTTCCAAAATAACACTGCAGATGCAGACTGTGATGAACAGTAGGAGATAGAAGAACCAATGGATTCAATCCATTAGCTCAATTTTTATTCTTTGCTGGAGGGTAGGGAAGTTGACAGATGATGAAAAAATGGGCCTATGAGGTGGACTCACAATTGTTAGCATCACAGCGAACTGACTTGCAATTGTCATTCATGATGATCATTAATTTTTATGTGGGCATGAAAGACAGCCCTGCCCTAAGCCACACAGAGTTGTTTCCAAGCTGACAAGCTTGGAAACCTCATTCATGAATTATTCTACATTCCCATGGATGGATAAAAGACCTTTAAAGGTCTAGGGTGACAGAGGCCCCTGCAGTGGGAAACAGAGTACACGTAGAGGAGTCATTCTGAGTTCAAGGATTCCTCCCATGGCATATCAATTCCTTCCAAATCTTTTTCTGGGGGGGTAAATGAAACAATGTTATAAAATTAATTTACTCACTTTTGGAAAAATTAATTATGAAGCATTCTATATGATTAGGCTAGCATCCCCCTGAATGGCTAGGAAAGGTTTTACCTCTGAAAGTTGAAACATTTAGCTTGAATAAAACTTGACACTACAAAAAGTGATTACAGTAGATTGGTTCATTAACATATACTTGGGGATCAGACATTTACAAGGACATTAAATATATACCTGGAAACACAGACACAGCACATGGAAGTACAAACACATTGAATTATTTTCACATAATTCCCAAAAGAACATGCAGTGCTAAAACTGACTTGATATTATACAGATGCAATTTTGGAATATTTATTTTCAATTTTTCCAAATCATCTTTTAAAATCAAAATTATATTTCCTAATCAGTATTAACAAGCATTTTCACGTGATGCCATGACAACATGCCCCTTATAAATTAAATATATTGTATTGCCCTTCAGTTCTGGAAAATGCCTAAAATTTTATTTGGGGGCTTAGCAAATTTAAAGTATGTATTTCTCCATATTCCAAGTAATGCATCTTTATATTTTTGCAAAGAATAGTATAAAGTTCACCACACCAACAGCAGAGAAAATTTAGAGAGTGATATTTTCATTTTTTCTTTATAATGCTGTTAATCTGTTTCTTTAAAGCCAGCCCGCTTGTTTAACACTAGGTACCTGTTACAATATATTAGATTCGTCTGAGAATGTTCGTAAAAGAAGAGGTCTGACTGAAGGTCTGGTGGATAATGAGTCAGATGCCTTTTTACAGCTCAGATTTCTCTGTAATAGTGAGGTAAAGATACTTAAAGCATTTGAAGATTGGTTAACCCACCTGGTGATAAAAATGTAGGAAGAAAAAAATAATTTCCTACAGACTACTCCTCTGGCCAAAAGTACAAATGATTACACTACAGCAAATGCGTAACATTTAAATGAATACATTTAAAGACCTAAGAAAGTCTCCAACTCCAGTTGAATTGTTTTCATGGTAGAAGAATACAGACAGTAGTAGTACGTGGCAAACTTGGGTTTTTGAAATGACACTGGTTAAGTTATGCGGTTGATGAAGTCAATATGGTTTGATTAGTAAACCTTACCATCCTTTTGGTGAACACCTCTGAGAGTTGTGCCGGTACTGTGAGTGTACTGAACAAAGAGAAATTTGTGCAAAACATTCCTGTCTTAGTGAACAGACTAGCTGTAACACACTGTGGCTTCTACTGCGACCAGGAACCAATGGGACTACAGACCTACAGTCCAAGTTTTTGAAAATCACTTTCTCGCCAGTGTGACAATTTGAGAAGGTGAACAAATGATTAAAGGAAAATGACAAAATATTCTTAAGTATCAATAGAAGATGTAAAGATGAGTCATGAGAATTTTTCATAAAGAATCAGAAAATGATGTCAAGCAAATGAGAATGCAAGCAAGTTGGTACATTAAGAAAGGAAATCACCTTATTCACTCCAAGAGAAACTGTGATTGCTGGAAGTTTGAGAAAGCATGAAGATAGTAGATGTTCCTGAGGAAGGGAGGCGTTTCGTTACCTTGTTCACAATTGCACAAAAGGTGGAAAATTGCAGTAGAAAAAAGAGAAATGCAGAAACCAAAAAGAAAAAAAAAAGTAAATATTCTCTGAAATGTAAGACATTTAAAAAGAAACTTTGAGAATTTGAAGTTGAAATGACGTTAGTTTTGAAGACGTTACTTTCTGAAGTAAAAGTAGAGTTAGAGTTAGGAATAGTCTATTATATGAGCAAACTACTATTTCTCTGTATAGCAATTAAAATTTTTTTTCTTAATTGGAAAATTGACTATTTTGAATAAAGTAATTTAAAAATATGTTTCTCATTGAAATAAAGCTCATCTCTAATCATTAACTCAGTAGCTTACACTGTTCAAAATCCACTGGTCAGAGAGCTAGGCTGAGGGTCCATCACCAGTCTATATTGAAGTAACTGTCTCCCCTATCCAATTGCATAGATGGAATATGAAGGGACTGACTGCCCTTGGGCAGTTCCAGGTTAAAAACCTAATCAAAACTAACATAATGGAAAAACTGTTGGTGAAACCACACTTCAGTGCCGTTTACCTCTGAACCAACCTTTAGCTTCCTTTATTCTAACATAATTTGATCAGTTTCCCCCTTTTCTCCTATAGAGACTCTTTAAAAGTGATGGCTGAAGAGCTATGAATTTTTCCTTTAAAACACTTAGAAAAAGTAAAAATCGATAACTTACAGTTTAATCAGAAAACCTAAGAGGTTAGTGTTATTTTTTCGTATTCTGTGCCTGAAGCTATAGGCTAATTTATAGACTTGGTTTTGGTATTGCTCAAGCAAAACAGAAGATGAGTAGTCAACTATGCGGATGAGCTTAATGATTCTGCTAATCAAGATTACCCATATTATTTATCTCCTTAGCAGCTAATGGAAATACGCTTACAAAAAGAAACCAGCTAAAGCAACACATATATCTAACAGAGTCTAATAAACATTTATACTTCTAAAGGCAAATATTTTTATTTATTCATATATATTTTAACATAGCTACATTTTTTCCTGTTCACATTTTACCTTAAATACAGTTGGTGACATGTTGGTAACATGCAAATTACCAATTGATAAAGCTAGAGAAATAAATATTTCATTTCTGAGAAAAAAATTTTAAATTGCTCTGTCTTCTATTTTGTGGGCAAAAACCTTGCAACAAGATTAACATGATACCAAATCACCCACCCTGTGTTTAAAATACAAGCCCATCTATTTAAGACTGTAACTGAAACACATTTTGGTGTGCTCAAAACCTTGTTCCCAACGGTCAGAAATAAAAGTATTTCTAAGAAGTAGAAATTTGAGGGGTTAATAGGTTACTTTATAAAGGAAAACAAAAGAAATATGAAAGTACAGAAGGCAGCAGAGAGCATGGAAAGAGTAAAGCAATAAAAAAATTGATACAGCTAGCAACTGGTTGGGGGAGGGTGAGAAGGATGGGAGATAACTAAAACAGTATGAAATTTCCACATTCCTTTGCAGTCATCTAGAGAGCTTTGACTCTGGCTCAATTAGCAGTTTGTCAAAGAGGCCAGTGCATAAAGGTCCACCTCAACAGCCACGATGTTAGGATTCAACTTTATATTTGTCTAATTTAGATGACAGGACTGTTACCCTTAGAACTCTTGGTTCTATGTGACACTGTCAGGATTGCAACAGTAATCATCATTGTCACCATTATTATTATAAGGATAAATTGTATTCTCCAAAGTGCTTTCTCTGGGAATTTTGCTCAGACACCTGACATTCTTCCTTTTCTTGTCTTCCACTCTGAAAGAGCTCCCTGCATAATGGAATGTTTCCTCTTGGTTGTGCAGACCTCACATGCAAGGTATGGCCATGTTGCTGGGTCCATTCTCATTAGATTATAGTGTTTCCATGTCTACTAGGCAAAGTCAAGCCTCCTTTAGATCATGGTGGTTTACACGGGAAAACTTTACATAAAGATATGTGGAAAATTCCTCCGCTGGAAATGGGAACTGGTATTTACCAGTTGGCCAGAAGGTCCAGGTGTATTTCACTGATTAAGAGACAGCCCAAGAAATGTGCTTAAGAGGGGACACAGCTTTCTGAAATACCAAAATCCTAAACTTTAAATTTCCTTTAAAGTGTTATCTGCTGTTCAGTGCTCCATGATAGTTTCATCATACGCTTATCAGCAGCATGGCGATGAGGCTTTGTCAGTTTATAAGCTAAAGAAAAGTCCTATGATCCTTAATAATGGGACTTTAGCTCAAGAATTAACTACATTGCTGAAAATAAGGGTGTGAAAATATTTACCCCTGAGTTAAATGAGTGGGGGAACCTGTTTCCGAAGAGAGAATTCTTTCTAATGCTAATGTCATGACAGAACTCTGTCTGTGGTGGAGGCTGTGGTGGAGGCTTCTGGAGGTAGTGACTTGGACCTTGAAATAGCCCAGCTGTGTTACAACAAGCCATAGTATTGAATCTACTGTTCTGTTTATACCTGCTTACAGAAGTGTTCCAAATAAGTCCCCTTTATAACTCAACTAGAGTGAGAGCTCCTTGTGAGAGGGAGCTACATCTGATTCTTCTCTGAATGATTAACACCTAGTACAGCAGCTAGCTTACAGTCGACCCTTGGGCAATGTGTGCTGAACTGAATAGAATTCAACAGAAGGCTGCTTCTATAATTGTTAAATGTAAATGGTTTAGCTTCTTTCTCAAATGCCATAGACATTTTCTCTATCCACTGCTGAGCTCCCTTCTTAAAGCAGCTGCCAAGACTCACAGGAGGATAGCACTGGCAGTCTACTTAGCACAGGCATTTCTGGCTGTACATGCAAAGGATCCCTAGCTTACTGGATGAAGTCAGGGGGATCTTCTGCCTCTAGCTCGGGACACACACTTTATCCCATTAGGGATCCTGTCAGGTATGAGGCTGACCCGGTGTAAAAGAGTCCTTTGCGTTTCTTTACAATGAGGCCAATGTCTTAGCAAGGGATATTGAACAAAGTAGGAAGTCACCCAGGATGCCAGACTGTTGGTCATTAAAATACTCTTTTCTCCTTTATCTTAGAAGTGGCCCTCTGCCTCTTTGATGTGGCCAACTAGAGCCTTGTGTAAATAGATGTGACTTATCAGAGTAGTCATAGCTGCCATGTTTCAGTTGGCCTTTATGCATTCATACGCACTACTTTGCTCTTCCTTTTCTCACAAGGGGAAAAAAAGAAAAAAGAAAAAAAAAAAAGGCAGTGCTGCTGAGTGCCCACAATGTTTTGTCTCATCTGCAAGTCTCACAATCCCATAGAGTCTGAAAAACCATTTAGCCTTTCAGACTCTGGACGTAAAGAGAGATGTTCATCAGTAGGTGGTTCAACACATGTTCACTGGTTCAATGACGATAGGAATAAATGAATGAATGAGTGAACGAATGAAGGTGATTATGGAAATTCTCCTGGTTGTTCTAGCATATCAGCATGCCAAGCTACAGTACAGACACTGGAATCCCCCTCCTATCATGGACATAATCCATGGCAAACAAATCTCATGCTGAACCCTGGAAACATTCTACACTGCTAAGTAAAAAAGGCCGCAGTCCCAGAACTCCATGCTTTCGTTCAACAGAAGTTTGGGATCTACTGTTTGCGTGGAAAGAAAATGTTCTAAGTCTTTATCTGTGACTACCTTGTAGCATCCCTCCATTTAATGGCCATTTAACTTATATAAAAACATTTAAAATATTTAGTAGCCATTTAATTTATATAAAAGTCACCTCCAGCCAGTGTCTAATTTTTTTTTAAAGGGCTTAAGGAAGAGGATAAGATGATATGTTTGAAGGTTTTGATTTCTGAGATTTTTGTCTCATCTTTACAGCATGAAGCTGGGTGTGAGCCATTATTTAGCATGAGCTCCATTACCCCAAATAAGAGAAACATTGAGGAACTCCTCAAAGCGTACTCCCAAATAAGGAGATCCTTCCTAGACAAATCTCTATTACAACAAGGAACCAAAAGATTTCTTACTGTGACATTTTCTGTTTGGCTTCATGCAAATTGCCACTTGAGCCATTCTGGGAGGAACCTGTTTTATCCCTGTTCAACTGGTATTAAAGGTATAATCAGACAAGTAAATGCCACTTTTCCATTCTAAGACCAAACACCAGGCTGGAGGGAGTTAGTGGGGGGTCTACTGGAAGGATTAGAGAGAGATTAAGGCAGTCTTAGGTTAACGTTACTGTGTGCAGTTCCACCCATAAGGCATGCAGAAGCAGGGAGTTAAGGCCAGTTCTGACCACCTAACTACCAAGTGATTGGGCCGTGTATAGCAAGAATCAGTGTGGCTTATGCCACTGATAATCTACTGCTTTTGAGTGGGGCTGAAGCTCCTCTCTTACACATCTAATCACTGAAGATTTTCCCACTATAATCATTTTAGTTCCCTATTCTGCATGATGCCAACCACTGGAATCAATCAATAGGGAAAAAAAAAAATCAAGGCAAGCCAGTTTTGTGGCTAAAATGGTTGGCAAATTTAATGAAATAGATCAGGTAGATATAGCTTAGTCTACTTCTTGAAAATATTGCCTTGGAGGGGCTACAAGATCTAATTGGTGTCAATATGATCGAAACAGGGTTTTGTTTGGCAGAATGAGCTAGTGTTGGTAGGAGTATGACATATTTAACTAACCTGTTGGTCAAAATTTGCCAGAAGTTTTATTTTCAAGGCTAATCTATCCCTTTCAGTTTAAAGGCTTTTTCAGAAAGGCTCAAAAGATATTAGACAATGCAGGGGCAAGCAATTAGGCTGACAGAGGGTAATAACTTCTCATTCCCGCAAAAAATTTACCATATAAGCAGCAAAAATAAAAACACACTCATAAAACAATCTCGAATTTTTACAAGTGTGTTCAAGAGGGGAAGGATGTAGAAACCACATCCAAGGAATTCTCTTTGGTTCAAATATACTGCTGGACAGACAGGGCTAGAAGCAACACAGAGATTAAGCAGCACTATAATTAAAGGAAGGGGAAAGGTTTGAAAGAGGCAAATTGGGATTATCAACTAAAAAGAAAAATCTGCAAACAACCCATGGGGAAATTTCTAAGGTTAAAGCTGGAATGTTGGTGTGGAAATTCCCAGTGTGAAAATTCTAGGTTAAATTAAAAAAAAATCATTTTTTTCTGTTTAAAATTCCATATGGAGCATATGAGATACTCCATATGGATTGCTAAAGGTCACATAGAACACTATTAAGGAATCTACTTACCACCTGCATTGGATAACGAAGTTTTTTACTATACTTTTTATGCAGAAGAGGAAATTAAGTGATGAACCTGTAAGGAGGGGTTTAACATGCTGTAACTAATGCAATTCTCTAAATAAAGTTTTTAGTTCATGGCAGATATTGAAGCCCCTTCCAAAAATCAGGTGGTAATATAAACTTAGTTCTTACCCTGGCACTTCTTCTTCTTACATTCTTTAATACTATCAGGAGAATCTCAGGGAAAAGGCTGATAAATATTAGAAGAACTATGGCCAACCATGTGGATACAGAAGACAGCATTTGAGCAAATACAAAATACATTCTCTGTTGTTTGAGAAAAGGCCTAGAGTGGAAAGAAAATACATAATGGAAAAACAAATCAGTTCCTGTTATATGAAACAGTAGTGTAACTGAAACTTTTGTATTTAAAAGGAATCCTCGTTACGTACATTAATAAAAATAATTTTCTTTAGGACGACCCAGAAGTAGTAAACCGATTTCATTTACTAAATGTTTGGAAAGAAAAGGAATGATAATCAAAGGGGAAAAAAGATGCTAAAATGCATTTGACTTGAAAACAACTAAGCGATCAATTTTAAAGCTGCCAACTGGAGAACCTTTATTTGCATTAGAAAATGCTGGAGGGCTTCCCTAGTGGTGCAGTGGTTAAGAATCCGCCTGCCAATGCAGGGGACATGGGTTTGAGCCCTGGTCCGGGAAGATCCCACATGCTACAGAGCAACTAAGCCTGTGCGCCACAACTACTGAGCCTGCGCTCTAGAGCCCATGAGCCACAACTACTGAGCCCGCACACCACAACTACTGAAGCCCACGCGCCTAGAGCCCGTGCTCCGTAACAAGAGAAGCCACCGCAATGGGAAGTCCGCACGCCGCAACGAAGAGTAGCCCCCGCTCGCCACAACTAGAGAAAGCCCGCGCAGCAGCAACAAAGACTCAATGCAGCCAAAAATAAATAAAATAAAATAAAATAATAAAAAAAAGAAAATGCTGGAGCTTCAGAGATATTCACGAGAAATGATGATTAATTTTTATGCTAATGAACATTTTACTTCCTTGGCTGTTTTTTTTTTTAATATAAGAAAGGATTTCTGGTCTACATTTGGAAATTTAAAAGACATTTTTATTACCACTCCCCACCCCCCCGCCCACAAAACCCCTATGTAAGCATAACAAGGACTGTAGAGATTTTCTCTCTCAAATGGGAGGAATCTACCATTCTCATCCACAAATACGTATTGAGTACGAGTGTGTGCCAAGTAGGTTGACAGAAGAATATTGCTAATCACACATTAAGCCTTGGGGTCCAGAAATCCAGGAGAACGCCTCATTCTGCAGGGTTCAGTCATCCACTGAACTGTCAGGCGACCACTGAGAAGTCCAGCCAGTTTCCCTTCCCTGCCGGAGCTGAACCACAGAGAGCCTCACTAGGCTAGGATGAACGCTGTCTGAAGCTGAGGGGGAGGAAGTGCAAAGCAGCTGCTCAAGGTTGGGGTAGACATCAGACTGTCCTTGGATGAGGAGCCTTAGGTAGATAAGTGGTTGGTGCCATTTAGTAGATCACAAATAGTGCTCAGTGAAGATAAACTGGTTTCTCATTTAAACATTCATGTTTGTGCACGCTCATGTAACATGATAAAATCAAGCTCGTGGCTCTACACAGCTGAGGACTAGACTGTGGAATATATGTGGAATAGATTGTGAGCACAATAGTGAGGGGGAGAAACTTATGAGGTCCAGGCTAAACAAGTTTTCTAGGGTTCCCACCATAAAGAAAAGATTTCTACAGAGCTCTATTCCCACTCTCATTCAGAAGGGCACCCTGACTAATCTTCTAGGCAGTTAACTGAGGCACAATAAGGGTCCAGCAGACAATTGACACCTAGTCGTCACAGGGTATTCTTTTGCACAGTACCCTCTCTGTGATTAACAGCTCCACATTTTTCTTTTTGATTTTGATGGCATCTATGGAGTTTTGCAGAGGAGCAGTAAAAAACAAAAATTATTATTCCTGGATGGGGTTTGGGGATCAGAAATCATCATTCTCACTGCCCATCCCCAAAGAGGGGTGAGTCACAATGCCTCAGGGTTGAGCATGTCTGGAGATTAGGTGCAATCAGCATTCAGCTGAAGTATTACAGTTTCTAGTCACATTTTCTTGGTTGCTTTATAATATAAATTTTATATTCATGTAGTAGCTCAACTCAGACAGGTCTACTTAAGGATAGCACTATAGGCAACAAAATAAAACAGATTTATTAACATTTCATTTTTAGTAACCATCTCTAATGAATAGAAACAGGTGTGACAATATCTTAAATCATTTAAAGGATTTATTTTAATCAATAAGGAATAGTCTGGAAAGAGT